TACCGCTGCTGGAGTTTGAATCCAGCCTTTGTCCTGATGTGTGGAGTTGTGCTCCACCTATTATCTGGATGGATATCTCCAAGTACTCTGGCTTCTTTCCATGGTCCAAACACATACATGGATCAGATTAACTCCCTTATCTTTCCAGCCCTGGAGTTTTCCTCTGTTTCTCCAGAAGCCACAGTGGAAATAAAGGAAAGGAACCAACTTACCTGAAGCTTTTGTCCTTCGAAAATTACATGCTTCATAAAATCTACTTGGAACTCAGAAAAAATAATTATCGACTGTCAGAGCGACAGTCGGACAGTTATTGTCTGTATCGTGCTTCCAACATATAACACGGAGGGTTAAAAGTGAACTTAACTGCTGGTTTTCTCCTGATGGCTTTAGACACATGGTCGTCTGATTTATTTACAGACAGAAACAAAAAAGCTTTTTACAGTTGATCTAAAACTCAAAGGTAATTAACACCATAAATGAATGCAGTTCATAAGGTTTACAGTGAATGCTAGAAAATTTTTCATCACGACTACCACCACACTTTGCCCAACATCAAAGATTTGTGGCAGATTTTCACATTTTAGAAGCTGGAAGAGCTGCATTAGAAAATCAAAATAATAACTGCCGAATGTGGATCAAGATGTCGTCCACTGAAACTTTGAGGAGAAGGAGAGAGCCGGTGTTGTGCCAAAAACTGATTTCCGGTATTTGCCAAAAACTGATTGCTTGTATTTAAACTGCTATAAATAACTTGTTGGTGTATAATATGTGAAACATATGTCAAATGTATCCCTCATGAATGATATCACATTATCTTGAGCAACAAACAACATTCCTGTAACAAGGTAGAAGCCGCAATCACTTTTTGGCAGTGACTTTTATGTATCCTTTATGTATGCAGTTAAAAAAATATTGTTGACTTTAAAAATGTCTCTTTTAAGAGTAATCTGGCCAAGAGGACAGCTGAAATTGCAACAAATGTGAAAATAGTTCTGTAAATATATTTTAAGTGGACAAAAGGGAGCTGATTGATTATAATGTAAGTGCAGTAACACAGTCACAAAGATACTTGAGAAACAGGTAATTTTTTTAAATTTTATATATAACCCCTTTGTAATACCTGTTCACCAAAGTCTATTTAGCAACATACATAACGATATTACACATAAAAAAAACAACAAAAAAAACACGCAAACATTGGAAATCAGTTTTTGGCAGGCAATCATTTTTTGGCACAACACCGGCACCACTGAAGCTGGATGACGGCAGGTTTCCTGCTCAGTTTCATTTATGTGTGAATACTCTGAGGAGGCGTATAAATTCCAGGGAATTTCCTTGAACTTGTATAGTATGGTTTTTAGGTAACTAAGGTATTATTCATGTAAGATAGACAGCAACTTCTTACTCACAGGTCGTAGACTGCACCATTTTTACCCCAAGCGGATCAAAACCTATATAAAATGAGCATCATGTTTTATTCAGTCAAACTTTAGGTTTGCACCTGAGACCATAAAATCATCAGCAGGTCATAAAGGAAGTGTGAAGTGGAGCAATTTCCCCTAAACTTCATTTTCCCCTACAAGATGGGTTGCCCCCTGCTGGCCATAAGAAAGAATGCAGGTATATTCCACTTCTTGTTCCTGGGGAGCCACGCCCATTCTTTATAGTTTACATCTGTGGTTACAACAACTGGAGAAGGCAACATTTACGTCATAGTATGCCAAAGTTTGGTTGGAGTCCACAGCAAGGCCAGCATTACTGTGGCCGTGTGCAGTGAACTTTAAAATGAAATCATGAAAATAAGATGGGCTGAAGTTGCCAATTACATGCAGTCTGTGCTGATAAGGCAGTTAACTGTAGTGAAGCATTAAAAATCTGTTGCCACATAGGCACTTCATAGACTTCAAACAGAAAATCTTCCACAAATAGTGACGTAGTTGCTGCAGGACGGCAATTTAACAGCAGAATGAAACAGGCGCTGAGCAACCTGGTATTAGGAACATAACCATTCTGCAACCAGCTGAGTCCTGTGCTGCTTTGAGATGCATTGCAGATGAATTGCACTAAGTGGTGCAAAATGACTGAATGATAGCATTGTATTGGCAATCGGTCAAATTATTTGCAAACCTTCGCCAATCAATCCAAGAGCAACTGCAGACAGTCTGAGTCAAACTGCAACTGTTTGTAGACAGTCGCCAAAAGTTGATTCTGTTCATCTGGACGTAGCGTTTTCAGTGGGAGAAACGTTTCGTCACTCATCCAAGTGACTGACTGCAGGTTTCTCCAACCTTATAGACAATACATTTGCATAATGACTGAAACTAGCACCACTGAAGTAACAATGGGCTGTGAGGTCAGTTCGTTAATCATTAATATGCAAATTCTCATGACAACAACCACTGATCAAAAATCACGATTGAAGACCACTGATCAATGGCCATGAGTACCATACTGTTTATAAGGTTGGGGAAACCTGCAGTCAGCTGAGACTGAAGAACTCACTTGGATGGGTAATGAAAAGTTTCTCCCACTGAAAACACTACATCCAGAAAAACAGAATCAACTTTTGGGGATTTACTTATCTGGATGATTGAGCATACATCAAGATGTTTGCCGACAGGTTCCATCCCACAAGGCTACCTGTGCAATTGCATTGGGATCAAATGTAATTGCCCAGAGGTTGAGAGTGTTGTATGCTTAACTTATGGGTAGTCTTTTAGTTTGCAACAAACAATTCAACTAACAAATTTCCCTATCTGCCAGAAGGTTGCCATCCTTTTTCCTCTAATGTGACTGAGCTGTAAGCTGCATATCGTGTTCTGTGAGCAGTTTAATCTCACGTGAATCATTCAAAAATCTTGAAGCCATTGGCTGACAATACAAAAACATATAAAGCATACCTAATGACTTAATTTTTCAATGACAAGAGGAGCTATGCCATAATATTCACAAAAACTGAACAAAAGTAATAGGGACAGATGACAGCTACCAATCACTCCAATGAGGCCAAATGCTGAGCTCCCACTGGTGCATCTGCCTGGAATAAAAAGCCTGCAGCGTTACGTCGCCTGAGCAGCAAACTGTGACCAATTTGAATGTCCAGGTCCAAATCTACGTCCGGACTCTCTAACCAGTTTGTCAGGGTCGCCGCAGTCAGCTGAATCAGGTGGAGTTGATCCCATTCAAGCCTCTGAGGGGACGCTGAGAGATGAAATTGGCTCTGCTGGGTGCTGCTGCTGCTCAGTGGAGACTCGGTGGGTTCCTGATGACAACACAGAGGAGCTGATGAACGCCTGCAGGGTTTCTTTTTCCTCACTCGACAAACTCTCTCACACTGTGTCATTCTTCCTCTGTACCTATCAGTTCACAGAGAAGCACAGACTGAAATAGGCTTCGATGGGCAGCATTCAATCTATACAGAGCTCTTAGTTTGGATGTCAGTGTGACCTAAAGGTCATTACTGGTATTTTCTTTCTTATTTTAGTCTGTTTGCCATGTCTTTATATTTCAAAGTGTGTTTTTCCATACTTTTCAGGTCTTTACTGGTGTCATTTTATTTTTATACCTTACACATACAGTATAAAGTATAAAAAACAGTTTTTCTATATTTTATATATTAGGGATGGGTATTGTTTAGGTTTTATCCGATACCGGTGCCAAACCGGTACTTTTGAAACGGTGCCGGTGCTTAAACGGTGCTCAAACCGGTGCTTAAAGAATGGAGAACACAAAATTGGTCCAAAAACCTCTGATGTTCAGCTGTTTTTTTTGTAAAAAGATAACAATGTTAGACTTTTCTGCAGCTATGGGGCATATATGGTATCACTCTTGGTTGGAAGCAGTGCTTAGACAATGGAAAAAAACACAAACTTTATCCAAAAACTTCTCATGTTTAGCCGTTTCCCACTTTTTCTTTGGTCATTTTAGCCTTTTTGGCCAGGGTGAAGGGAGCATCTGCCATCAAACAAGAAGACAGCCGCATGTAGCTATGATGATGTTTGCTAGTTCACCTTACATGCATTAATGTAATAACGTGGTTAGCCTACTCAACGTAAATTACACACAAACAACATGAAGCTACTCACGCAGAGAAGAACGGCTGCTGCTGCCATCATCATCCGTCATCATTTCTGCTACACTGGCAGGGCTAGGGGCCAGGACTCTCCTCTTCGTATTTTTGGGGGATGTTGCAAACTCCGGTCGGGGGCACCACACCCCAGTAGATGCGCTAGGTGTGAGGTCTTGCAGCAAGCTATCAAATACGCACATTTCTGGGCTTTTAAAAAAAAACGCTATGCGTCGCCAGGTGTTTCATCGGATTTGAGGTGTTACCTCCTTTGACAGTATCACAGTATCAGCTTAAAGCACTTGTTGCTGCTGAGTTTGCATCTTTTGCTGTGAAGTACAGCCAGACTTTTGACAGCTTCGCCTTGGACATTTTTAATCTGTAGCTCTGCATAAAAGAACGTACGTACCTGGCCCCGCCTACTATCCTCGGAAACGTAAAATGATTGGCTAGAATCTAAAGTGTATCACAGCTCAGGAAAAAAAGCACCGAAAAAAAGCACCGAAATAAAGCACCGAAATGTGCGCTTCTTTTCAGTCTGGTTACTACCGTTTATGTCAGAACCGGTTCCATTATGGCACCGGATACCGGTACCCATCCCTATTATATATATGTTGTTATTTTTTTAAATCTTTTTTTTAACACTACTCTTGAACAGTTCACCTCTTATACTTTGTTCACAAGTCTTTCACAGCTTACTGAGCTCAGCTGCGGTGTTACTGCCCTCTGATGGTGTTTTCATGCACTACAGTGCATAACACTGTGTCCATATCTGTTTTTTGGCTGCGTTAAAATGTTTTAAATACCCTAATGTATCATCATACTGCCCGAGCCTTGAATTGAGGATCCACATCACTCTTTAATGGTGCATGATGGAAAAACTGTACAATGCAAAGACACACTGGCCCTTTTACCACTGATGTAACATCTCAGCTCTCATTAATGAGACTGTGGAGAGGAACCAGGGGAGGTCGTCACTCACACAGTGAAGCATGCACAGGCTTGGCTCTTCATTAAAACCAGAGTCAGTCCCCCCACAGCGGTTTCCTGAGGGACAGCGAGTCTCTCGGAGGCTCTGCAGCAGAGGATGAGTTCATTAATTAACTTCCACACACACTCAAACAATATGTTAAATGCACTCGTAGCATCACTACATTATATAATACGGAGCTGACATCGCACACACACACACACACAGACACACACATTAATAATAAAACGCTAACGAACACACAGCGTGCCCAGAGTTCTCTCTCTCCCAGGCTCTCGTGACCCTGAAGATCCAACAGGAAATTGAGGATGTGCTTGTTTACTTGTCATGAGTTCTGATCATATTTGGGATATAATGTGGGCAGAGACATTAGGTTTATGGCACTGTGGTTCCTCCTTGTTTATGTGTTCAGACTTTGCATTGCACTCATTTTCTTTGCTCCTACTCAAAACAGAACAATAGCTCCATCATAACCCCACAGCAAACAAACCAGGACGCAGAGCATAGAAACTCATACAAGGTCAAAGGAGGTCAGACTTAGTCTGGTAATCATTTATGTCATTATATTCAATTGGTTTAGATCACCTGTATGTCACAGTTTATTGGATTTGAACACGCCTGGTTTTGAAACAGCTTCCATTATGTTCTGTTCAAAAGTCTTGAGCCACCACTCATTTCTTTATATATTCCTTCCAAGCAGTCAGACTTGGAAGGTGCCCTTTACCAGTAGTTCTCCAGGTTTTCTGCGAAAAATTCTTTCAAAATTTTTCTTTGGACATTGGCTTCTTTTTTCCTCATTTTCAGTCCACTTCTTGTACATGGACATTTTCAGAGGAATTGTTTTGTTTGTTAAGCCTCTGAAATCTGACCTATTAATCATTTAAGCATAAAAAGCCACCTAACTCATGAGACAACTTAGCAAGAAACCAATCTTTAGACACCTCGTTACTAGCAGCCTGTTACAGAGACACATTCATTTTCATTTATTTAGTTCAGTTTACAAAAAATGCCAAAAATAACACAATTTAACAGACATAAAATAATATTTTTACACCAACTAGGTGATTCCCAAAGAACTGATAGCTGAAGACTTGCATACCTCATCAGAAGTGCAGTTTGTCCTTAAACCAGAAGAATAAACTGTAGAGGTGTAGGACTACGTGAAACCATTTAAGACCTGATGGAGAGATGAACCCAAATCAGAAAGTTTTGATTCTAATCGTCATCAGTATGTACAGAGGAGGTCAGGAGAGAGGTGTAACAGTGATCAGCCACTGGTGTTGGAGTATGGTGGAATAATGAATACAGAAATGAATACAGACGATAAAATAAATAATTGCACCCATTTTCCTATCAGAACAAATAAATGAGGGGTGGCTCAAAACGTTTGCACAGTACTGTATTTAGCAAGCACTTCAGCTGTAGACCATTGGAAACTAAGTCCAGGTGTAGAAAACCATTTAAGTTAATCCAATTTAAATGAATGAAATGCAATGTGACATTGCTGTGGGATAGATGAAACATGTCTATAAATGGGAGAATCAGCTTAGAGGTGTCTTTCTGCTTGAACATCCTTACTCAAATCCAAAAAATAGGAAATGAAAGAGGTCCCAAAGTAGATTCCCGTGGGAAAACATTAGCTTAGATCTGGATATCTTGAGGTTGCTAAACTGCAAAGACAAACTAGCTCTACAGTCTGAGTTCTCTACACGAATTTTATCCAGTTTAAAAAGAGTCCTTCCTCCTCACTTTCACCAGGTGCTGCTCATGGGTGAGATCATTGGAGTTCTCAGTCTGATGTTGCAGAATCTACCCCTTATGAAAGTGTCTGGAGATCACTGCTGATGTGAAATGGTGCTGTATAAGTATAAAAAAATGAAATTGCTATCAGCTGATACTGTGGATGTGTTACCTCTGAGTGAGCCAATCTGGACTTGGGGTATGCTGCTCAGGTCTGTAGGCAACCCCACGTACACACCTCCATAGTTCCTGATCTCACACACACACACACACACACACACACACACACACACACACACACACACACACACACACACACACACACACACACACACACACACACACACAGAGAGAGAGAGAGAGAGTCAGCTGCACAGATCAGCTCATTAGACATATATTGGATGGCTGTGATGAATGAGATAAAAAGATTTTATAATCAAAAATGAATGACTGACTTCCGTTTGTCATCTTCTGGCACTGACTCAACTGATCTGTCGACACACACGCACACACAGAGTCAGCTGATTTACGTTAACAGACAACATGAGAGAAAGGTCAAACAACAGTGACATGTTTCAAGATGAAAATATGTTTGAAACTTTACTCACAGCTTTGATGAAAACTCAGCAGGATCTGAAGTCAGTGACAGAAACGAGATCAATCGAGAGTTAAATTCATTCCTGCTCACTGAAATCACTTTGTAAAAAAACAATTTTGACATTTTCACACACTGAAAATTCCGTATTTGTTTTATCTAGAGCAAAGAGCTACAGTGAGAAAGTAGACAGGCATGAAAACTTTACTTTGGGTATTTGTGGTGAAAACTTTGTAAAATTGGAAAAACTGATGATTTGTTTTTCAAAAGTCAGATTTAAACAGCTGTGACAGCTCAACAATCACCAATAATTTCCTCACCAGATAAATGATCTTTGACACTTTGACACATTCATCTTCCTGTCGTGTTTTATAAACTTTTCTCATTAAATCTTGATTATTAAAAGTTTCTCCCTCTCATTTCTCTCTGTCCGTCCTTTCCTTCCTTCCTTCCTTCCTTCCTTCCTTCCTTCCTTCCTTCCTTCCTTCCTTCCTTCCTTCCTTCCTTCCTTCTTTCCTTTATTTTTTTCTTTTTCTTCATTTGCTTCTTGCAATCCTTGTTTCCTTCCTTTTTCCTTTTCTTCCTTGTTCCTGTCCTTCCATGTTTCCTTTCTTTCTTTCCTTGTTCCCTTCCCCATTACCTTATTTTTTCCTTTCCAATGTTCTTATGTTCAAAATTTAGGGTATGAGGTTCCCATACTTAATCCTCAGATAATTCTAATATTTTATTGGGAATAAAAATGTGAAGCATTTCACATTAAACTGTTGTATAACATGTGCATCAGTAGCAAATATGCCCAACAGCAAAAAGGAGACACAACAAGATCACAAAAAAAAAAAAAAACAACCAGGGGGAGACAAATTAGTTCAAAGACAACACCAACCCACCCCCACCTACCCACCCCACAAAGGTTATATCATAACTGTTTCATGACAACATCAGCCTGTTTTCTAAAAACCACACTGATGTCTGACCATTGACCTATGACCTTGACGCTCTATATACGTAAAAGGTAGATTTTTTATTATCTTTACCCAGATGACTGAGCAGAACTGGCTTCGAGATTTTAATCTATATTCATGCAGTGTGTGACTCTGTGAAAGTTTGACATCACTATGACATCATAGGATGTCTTATTAAAAAAATGAAAACGTGTGTTGCACGACTCCCACCATGCTCTTTAATATGATACATTACTCGATATTGTTTCTTGAATTCTTTTTTTCAAGGTCAACTTTGACCTTGGGCACTAACAATCAAGGTCAAATCCTTAGCCAACTTAACTACTCAAGTTCTCCAAGACCTCGTATAATGTTGTGAAGTTTGAAGACGATCTTTGAAAAATTGTGGGTAATATACAGTTGTTACAGATTTGTACATCTGGTGTGACCTCGACTAGATTTTCACCAAAATTAAATTAGCTCGAGCTGTTATTGGTATTGATCATCAGATAAAACCTGAACATAATATCTTGAAAACCACAGATGCTAGACTTCTAACAAACAGCCAGACAGACATAAACAAATGGAAATGATTCTCCCTCCCTTCAGAGAACAAACCAGGAGTTTCAAAAAATGCACAAGAAAAAAAAAAAAAAACCCAACCCAAAATGAAATGGAAAATGAGGTAAGTGATAAAGACATATCAGTCCATCAGATAGTGACTCACATGACGCTTAAAAACAACCAACATGGGAGACGAATCAGCAGAAAGAGACCGAAAACAAATAATAATAATAAAAAAAACCAGACACTAACAGAAAATTACTCACAAAACCATCCTGAAGACATGCACAATGACTAAAATCACACACTAAATTATTTTGAAACAACCCAAATGATAACAATAAAAAAGTACAATCAGTCAATCCTGATTGCTTTTAATTATAGTTAAGTAAAAGCACAAGTGAACTTTGAAACAGCAAAACACCACAAACTGCAACTGAAACCTTACAGATGAATTGCTTTCCAGCGTTTCCAGGAGTGTCAGAAATCCCTGAAAACTTTAATTGATTTTGAGCAGACAGACATGGACTCTGCTTTCACCTCCTACAGCTTCCAAAGTCAAAAACTCTACAGACTGGACCGCTAACACCTGCAGGACATAAAAAAGTTACTAAAGCACCTTTAGTAACTCTAAAAGCAAAATAAGACACCTTAAACCTGCCAGCTGCTCCATATGACTAACAATATGTTCAGTTTTTCAGTGTCCTCACCTCTGCTGCGGTTGCTGCTGCTGTTGTTGTTAGTCATGTGTTTGGCTGGAGAGGAATTTCCACATCCCATTTCAGAAAGAAAAGGAAAAAACAGTAGCGAGAGGAGAAATGGGGCGAGAAGAGTGAGGACAAAAACGTCTCTTATCTCGCTCTTACTCTCAGCTGAAGCTCCCAGTATAGAGAGGATTAGATGATGGCAAGGGAGGGAGGGAGGGAGGAGAGACGGAGAGTGTGTTGACCCCTGCTGCTGAGGGAGTAGAACTTCAAGTGTGTGTTTCAGAGTGTGTGTGCTTCAAAATCTCTGCGCAGTTTTGGAGGAAGCAGATCAAAGTCAGCTAGAATTGATTTAATTGGTGCATTTCTGCTCAAATGGAGCTGAAACAGGATTAGAGGAAAGCGGTGACAGAAGAGTGTTTAGCGTTCCCTGAGCAGGTTGGATCTGTGGTGTCTGGCTCTTGACGTCAGCTGTTGTCGAGAAGAAAGCAGTCTGTTCGGAAGTACTTTTATTATTGTTCTTGGCCTCCAGCCTCCTTCCTCACTGCTCCTTCTGTGCTTAAACCTACAATGAGTCATGCCACCCACACTCTAACCTCACATCCAGCCTCGTTGCTGCTCTCACCTCAATTACAGGCGACAGCAAAGTGACTTTCAGGAAATAATTTATTGTTCCCGCCGTCTCCAGCAGGAAGTGGAAAATGACTTCTGGACTCGTGCTGAGAGTTTTTCATCTTCACCAAAAAGTTTCAGCGTGCCGAGTTTGGAAGATTTGATGATAAGATTTTGCTACTATAATAAAACAAGGATGACACGCTCCTTCAGCGGCTGCATTAGAGTGAACCAGAGAAACAGGTCAGAACAATTAAAAATTAAAGGAAGGAAGGATGTCTTAAGGGTGAATAATTTGGAATTACAAGCTCTATTGTATGTTCACTGATGAAAACACTCTTTCTCTGCAGGTCTGAAACAAACAACCTTCAGACCTGCAAAATGAAGCCAAAGCTGCAGTTCCTATAATGACCACTTGAGGGCTACAGCAGAATAAACAAACTGTTTTAACCTCTGTGGACAGTTCTCTTCATAACAGCTGTTCAGAGAGCAAATTTATTTTATAATGCATCTTTTTGGATTTTGTTTAAAATAATGTGCAGCTGCAGCTGAGCGCTGTCTGTAAGGCTTCTGCTTAAAAATTCAACATGGCCGACGCCATCAATGCTAACGCTCAGGCTGCAAAGATGACGTCATGCTGGCTACATCCACCAGGCTTTCATCCGACACATACATTTTTTATGTGATCTTTTATTTATACACGAACTGATGTCATGCATCATTCTTGGGCTTGTCTGCAAAACACATCCAATGCAAAAGACATTCAGGTATCGATACAAAGAGTTCAACATTGTTTAAGCAGAGAAATAATAATCAATCATAAAGCTTTCCAGCTGCACAAATCTGCCTAATTCCAGGAAACAGAGGCTGTAAATGAGAGCAGGGTGCAGAACAATCTGAGGTACAAAAGGAAAATTGACCAAACAATAGAAATTTTAGAGAAAGAACACATAACCCAAAGTGTAATTCCACATTAAGGACACAGGCGGGCAGTATTGTCATGAATGTGCTGCAGTGGGAAGTAGGAGTGAGTCAGAAAGAACCAGCATTTCCATCAACTGTTGAAAAAATAAATCAATACAAAGTTTTTTTTTAAAAATTTCTATCTCTGCTCCATTTTCTTTTAGGGAAGAAAAAGTGCAAGAGCTGTCTGCTCTTTGGTCCCTCTACCATCTCACACTTCTGTTTAATCAGTTTTCTGTTTGACATTTATTCAGCTGTGTGAAAACTATAAGTTTAATCTCAGCCAAACCGATTTATTGGGGAACAAATAAAACACTGAAAAAACGCCAAACAATAACATTTTTAAGTTATCTAAGTGACTTATATATCATGTTTAACCTGAGTAGTGAAAGACCGTGGGGGGTTTAAAAACAATGTGCTGGGAGTTCGCTGTTCTTGCTGCTCTGGTGAGCCTTGACCGCCCGGTCTGCTATTGAGGTGGTGGGTAACAGATGTCTCTGAAAATGTTGGAGCACTTTTGCAAAAATGTGATATATTGATAAATCGAGCAGATATTTGAAGTTTACACAGATACATTCTCACCTGAAAATATCTTAAAAGTTTATTTTGTGACCCAGAAAGAGTAATATTAAAACTATGCAGCTGCTGCCATCGTTGTTTTCCCAAAGATTCCAAACTTACTTGAATTTTCTAAAAATGATATTATCTTTGGATCTCTAAGAAAAGAAAAGAAGCTTGAAAATGTTCTAAATGTAATAATTATTATGGGTAAATTCTTCATTCACAAATGTCGTTTTCTGAAAACAAAGCTGTCCTTTTATACTCTTCACAAAGAACTCTGCCTCTTCTTCTCATCTGTAAAGTTTATGGACAAAAAACAAGCTCTGGATCTGTATCATATGATTAATGAACTAGATCTGTTAGAAAACCCCTAAGGTAAACCCCTCTTTTATGTCTTTTAATTATCTTTTGTTTGTTTGTTTTGTTTTTTTGTTTGTTTTCTTTGCTTTTGTTTGGGATTTGTTTTTGTTTTATCTATTTATTTGCTGTTGTTTGTACTTCCTGTTCATTATCTATCTTCTGTATGTTGGAATACAGCCTGTTCTGATACTATTTCAAGTTGGGAAGAAAATCTTTGTAGAGATTGCCAGATTTGTTGCACCCCCCCCCCCCCCCCCCCCCCCAACAATTAATGTCAACACTGATTATTATGCACTATTGTTTTTGTTCAAGGAGAGCAAAAAATATAAAACTCTCTCTCAGGTTGTTTGTTGCCAAAAATGGCCACCTTTTGTGTTTGTTCACAAAATGCTATAAAATTTATATTTATTAAAACATTATCTACTTTTACCGCCTTGACTCTTTAAATTAGCACCAGTCCTTTTCATCAAAACCAAAATTTTATCTACAGTCTTTTTTTTTTTTAATCTTTAAATGCCAGTTAGGCTATATATTGGTTTCCGCCCCAGTCATAGCACAGAAACTGCTCTGTTAAGAATTACCAATGACCTTCTGATGGCAGCTGATTCTGGTCTCCTATCCATCCTCATCCTTCTTGATCTTAGTGCGGCGTTTGATACCATTTCTCTCCTGAACCGTGTAGCTTCCATTGGTCGTACCCCCCTTGCCTGGTTTACCTCCTGTCTCTCAGACCGCACTCAGTTTGTCCAATTTAAATCCCATTCCTCAACTCTCTATCCTGTTTCTGCTGGTGTGCCCCAGGGTTCAGTATTGGGGCCTCTTTTATTCATTATTTATATGCTCCCTCTTGGTTATATATTCCGAAAATATAATATCAATTTTCACTGTTATGCCGATGACACCCAGCTCTACCTTTATTCTAAACCCAATTCATCTCTCCCACCTACCTCCCTCTCAAACTGTCTTATTGAGATTAGATCCTGGTTCTCCTCCAATTTCCTCAAACTAAACAGTAATAAAACTGAAGTTTTACTTGTTGGTACAGCCTCTATCTTAACCAAATCCCACAGTTTTTCCATTAACATTGAAAATGCTCCTACCCTTCCCTCCCCTCAGGTTAAGAGTTTGGGTGTCATACTTGATAATACTCTTTCATTCCAGTCTCACATTAATTACATAACCCGGTCTGCTTACTTCCATTTACGTAATATTAACCGACTCTGTCCCTTCCTTACTCCTCATGCTGCTGCCATCCTTGTCCATAGTCTTATTACGTCCCGTATTGATTACTGTAATTCCCTCCTATTTGGTCTCCCTAAAAGGTCCCTTCATAAACTCCAGCTCCTTCAAAATTCTGTAGCTCGGGTCATAACTTGCACTCCGTTAAGTGCTCATATTACCCCAGTTCTTCAGCAGCTTCACTGGTTGCCCATAGAAGCCAGGATAAACTTTAAAATCTTACTCCTTACATACAAGTGTATCCATAAATCTGCGCCTTCATATTTGTGTGACCTGCTCCATATCACCACTGCATCCCCCCTTCTCAGATCATCATCTGCTATTCATCTTACTGTTCCGTCCTCACATCTTATTACTATGGGGAACAGAGCTTTCAGTCGCTCTGCTCCCCGGCTCTGGAACTCTCTTCCTCCTGCACTAAGAAATATTGACTCCCTCTCCGTATTTAAGACACAGCTCAAAACACATCTGTTTAAACTGGCTTATTCGCTTTAATGCTGATTTTATCTGTTTTCACGCTCTGTTTTGTAATTTTAACTTATTTTATGTATTTTATGACTGTTGTTCCTTTTATTAATTTTGTTTTTTGTAAGGTGACATTGGGTTTCTGAAAGGCGCCCTCAAATAAAATGTATTATTATTATTATTATTATGTATTACCAGTAACCTTTCAGATAAAAAAAGTGAAGTCCTAATGGTTTCATAAATCTTCCTATTTATTTATTTATTTTTTCATATGAGCATCGGGGACAAGGCTGTCTTACAATTGTTGAGGTCACTAGCGTGCACCCTATTTCTTCCAGGATCACTCTTCATTTGTAGGTTTTAGTGAACTCCTACTACTGTGAAGTGGTTTTCATGGGACAAAGGCGTTGTATTCCAAGATTTGGGAGATTGTAGAAATGAGCATTAATGCCCTTCTTGCCATCTTTACAGAAAAAAAGTGATCTGGAAGCTGTTAGGCTTACTTACAGCAGTAGCACTTTCTGCACCTGTATAAACTCCAGGACACATTTTCTGACAGTGTTTGTTGCTGAATGTGCTGCTGCTTTGAATTTTTTTGAGAGTTAATATTTTGGCTATGGTGTCTTGTTATGAAAAGTACCTGAGTAAAAGTGTTTTTAGCATGTGCTTCAAAGATAAATTTGACTGGGAAACCCAAAGCTCAATAGCCCGTATCAACAGAAATTGACTGCAGCCTGTGTAATATTTGATGCGTCATAATTTATTCCAGTCTATCTTGCAAATACATATTTGCGTTGCAATGTCATGCACAAACACACGCAACTATTAGATCCTTAAGATCAAACCTGTGTCCTCCTTTTGGTCCACTACAGTGTAGTAAGCCATCAAACGACCCTATTTGAAACTAAGAATATTACGTGAAATTGGTTGTTTGGCTAAA